AAGAAGTAGTGTGTGTGTGTGTGTGTGTGTATATATATATATATATATATATATATATATATATGTAATTACTCAGCCATCAAAAGGATGTAATTTTGCCATTTGCAACAACATGGATGGACCTGGAGGGTATTATGCTTAGTGAAATAAGTCAGACAGAAAAAGACAAACATTGTATGTTTTCACTTATATGAGGAATCTAAACAATAGAACAAAACAGATTAATAAATATAACAAAACAGAAACAGACTCATAGAGACAGACAACAAGCTAGTGGTTACCAGTGGGAAAAGGAGCAGGGGCAAGATGAGGAAGAGGAGTTAAGAGTTAAAAACTACTGGGTATAAAATAGATAAAATACAAGGATGTAATATACAACATAGGGAATATAGCCAATATTTTATAATAACTTTAAATTGAATATAATCTGTAAAAAAATTAAATCACTTTGTTATACACCTGAAACTAATAAGTTACACTTACTGTAAATCACTTATACTTCAAGACAGAAAAAAAAAAAGATTCCAAATTAATGTCTTTTGAGTACATTGGGGCCCATATTAAGTGTGCTGTACTATACATCGTTTGTATTTTTTCCAACATTTCTGTGTTGGTCATGTACTCAAAGAACCTTGTGTTTCAGACAGTTTACACAGATCTGCTCAGTGTGTGTCTCTAAAGGACAGCAGTGGTAAGCATGCATTTCTGTGGCTTTTACTCTCCCTACCACTAGGTAACAGTCAGATGGTACTCACTACATTGTTGTCACATTGCACTGAACACTTGGGTAAAACAACATTGTAACTAGTTATTAAGGGCTATTGTAAATTCAATAGGAAATACTGGTATGCATAATAATTATACCACAATAACTCAAGGCATCTTGGTGAGGTAGCTGGTTTAGTGTTTAGAGGCAACAGATCAAAGGTAAATCTGGGATTAATTAGTGTAAATTTAGAAGCAATTAATTCTAGATGCTTTGTCAAATAGAGATTTTTTTTTAATCTCCGGGGTGACTTACAAGAATGAAATCTGTGTTAAATCTTCAATGATATCAGATTAACTCGCTACTACCAATCCCTGTATTTATATAATCATTTTAGTTCCAAAGAACTAAAGGGAGACCAAGGACAATTCTGATATGCACCAATTTCAGTTATTATAGTTTAGTTAAATAGCATCAGTCCTTTGAAAACATGGTTCAAATTTCAGTTAGCATGGTAACTCAAATTACCTGTGAGTATTATATAAATACAAACTTCACTGCTAACTCTTCAGTCTACAAATAATTACTTAAATAATAGACGTGTATTTTGATCAGGGACCAATCACATCATGTCTTTCAATTTGTCCTTGATTGGTCACTGGACATAGTTCGTTCAGTTCACACACTGACAACAAAGTGAGAAGCTGTGTCGCCTCCTTGTCTCTCCACACGAAATTTGCAAAAATGGACAACTGAAAGAGAACCGACCAAAAGTGGTGAATGTGCAGTGAAGAAACAAAAAAATGATAATGCTGGAAATGAAATTCAAATCGAACAGAAGTAGAATTACAGAATAACTGACCATGGGAATGTTGACACTGCCATTGTTTGAGTCCCTAAAAATGAAGCCAAGAACTTACTGAAGGAAAACTTGTAAACATAAATGAGGAAACTAGTTGTGTTGAAAAGGGTAAAGAGGTCCCAGAGGAAGTGAAAGTGGCAAAAAAGTCACATCAAATGGTTTCTCAGAGATACTTCAGGACTTTGAAAATGCAAAGGAGAAAAGGTTGGAAGCTGACCCAAACTTCCAGAAGAGGAAAATTCATCAAACATGTTCACTTCCTCTTGTAAGTTATTGGAGGAGAAGGTGGCAAGCACTGTTCAAAGTACTCTTCAGACTTTTTTACACAGAAATAAAACACATTAATTCTCAGCATTTCTAATATTTTAAATTACAGTGTACTAAATAAGTTAGTACACTAAATTAAAAATTAAATTAGAATTATTATTATTGTATTTTTAGTCTTCCTATACATTTATAACCTATAAAGAGTTCTTAATGTATTGATAAACATATTTAAAGATCACAAGTAATCATAATTTTCCCATTGATAATTAAGATTCCTTTCCATTTCCAAAATATTCCAGCTTGCAGAGTCATTTTTCTGGTCCTGCCCTACCAGGCAAAGCTAGGTCTGCCTGTGTGATCTTTTGTGCTCCCAAACCTACAAATTTGAAAGACTCAGGTACTCATAGCTCCAAGAAGAATAAGTGACTTGCTAAGTATCACAATCTCCCACAATTAAGTCTTAAGAAGAAATTATATCCAATTTCTACAGTTTATGACTACTAACAGGCGCTTTCCCCAAATTTCACTTTTCCTCAGGTAATTAAGTTTAAGAAATATTATTATTCAGAAGTAGTCCAAATACTTACAGATTTGGTCTGTATGAACCAGTGTTGACATGGGACCCAAAAGTATAGTTTGTCCAGTTAATGGATCTTGAGATAAATGTGGGTGCATTGGATGATGGAGATGGTTAGCATCACTGGAAGCACCTACAGAAGATAAAAAGATGCTCGTGTTAGTGATACTTAATCAGGAACAGCGAGTCTACCTTGCAACAAGTGTTTTGATTGACAGCTTGAATATTGCTATTTTTGTAAAGTGCTTTTTGGGAATTCAAAAATATATTAATAGAGCCACTGCCATATTAAAGACAATGTCAGCTTTCACTGTACGTGGGCTAAATTAATGTTGTATCATATTATCTTGTCTATTAATAATGGACCTTCTCTGTGGTTTCCTGGAATCATTAGGTTTGCTGCCTGTTGTTAAGGCAATTCCAAGAATCACTTACCTCAGGTTTATAGTATTTGGGATCACCCTAATAGCATAAACAACTTTTATTTCAGAAAGATATCATTAGAAAAACACATTAAGCACTAGAAAACGAAAAGTAAAACTAAACTAAACTAAAATAAAGCAATTTTACAGGGAAATTTAATCTAGATCAGAAAGCAAAATAAATGATTTCTTAGGTTATTCTTGACAGCTACTGCAGCAATGAAATCTCATTTTTCCCTTTTCATTGTGTTGTCTCAATTAATTATTTCAGGAGCAGAGTGTTTATTTTTAAGGCATTTGCTGTATATATATTTTGGTTATGTTGCAATTCCAACATCCTTGAGCTTTTAGAGGAGAAAAAAAGCATAGAAAAATGTAATATACTCCAAGAAGTACTAAAAATAGAAAATATATTTCAATTTACCATATTTGGAAGGATCTAAAAATTGAGGTAAGAGGGACCAGGTAGAGTAAAGATGGTGGAAGCTAGTAAGAACGGATGTTTGACTATGTTGCAGTATTTTTGTTTCCATTTAGTGGGTTTGTTTTGCAGACTTTCTAAACGTAAAAAATTGAGTTCATTTTGTCAAGGACAAAATTTAAACAGGTCAAACTTGTTCTGAAGTTCTGTAGTGTGATGCTAGTAAATAAAATAGAAATTCTTAAATGTACTCACCACCCAGTAGCATTTCCTGAAGTAGGTTGTCAATTTTAACCATCCCAAAAAGCTTAACAAATTGTATTTGCTCAATCATTTGCCAAGTGATACTTTGCAGCGTGGGGAGGAGCAGAAGCAGCTCCCCAAACCTGCCCCTGGAGTCGTACTGCCGGTCGTTGATATAGTCCTCCAAACTTAGCTGCACTTGGAACCGCATGTTTTTAATCTTCCCGGGATCACTTAGCCCTTTCGCGTCTAATAAAGGAATAAAAAGGGCAATCTAAATTCTCTCACTAGAGTGTGAAAGACTCTAATATTAAAAAGGTAGTTTCACTTTCGTTATAATTATTTTTAATGGAACTTTGGAAACAAACCTGGATCAAAAAATACAATTGCCTTCAAACAAGCATATTCATTGTCGTCAATCTGAATTTCTTGAAATGGTCGGACCAGCTCATCTAGAACCCGGTTGGCCACACGGCTGATCTCGACTTCACAGCTGTTGCGGTGAATAACGTAGTTGTTTCCTAGATAAAACATTTTTTTAATTAAAAATTTAAAAAAAAAATCATAATCACTTCTGCATACATACAAAAAAATTACAATTTTGTTTAAATTACTACAAACCAATGTTTTAAATGATTTTCCCTTGAAGAAATAGGAATTAGTACTTCTTTTCTCAATAACATTGCTACTTGTGTTAGAAAAACTTAAGAACACTTAAAGGATCAATAACGTTGATAATGCGATCACATGCATTTTAACAGCCTGGGTCACTAGTGATAAAGCTAAAGTACAGACTAATAGCAAGCTAATAATTGACAGGGGAGAAACAAGATATAATGATTAGCTTTCCACTATGTCAGTTATTTGTCAGTGCCTTACTCATTAATGAGCATAATACAAAACCTAAAGAATCTTTCTTGCTTATGGTAAATTAAAAACAGCATTCCTTTAGTGGTCTAGGTGTATATAGGTTAACAACCATTGAGACACAATTCTAACAAGTCTAAACAGACGATTTTTAAAAATTAGCGTATGTATTCCCATAAGTTGTCTCATTAAGTAGTAAATTCTCTCTTCCTGGATTTCTTTAAGTAGAGATGTGATGATCACTTTACAGAGATGAATTCAAGGGAGTTCAGAAATCGGACAGAAAGCTGGACCACTAAATCCCTAAAGACCATTCTACCTTAGAAATTCTCTGGCTACAATATGATGAATATTTTATTACAGTTTCTAAAATATTGGAAAATTGGAAGCTTATTATAGCCCTAAAATAATAGCTAAATTTTTATTTTCTGGTTTTATGAAAAGCAGAATATTCTGAGTTCTTTCACTGCAGGCAAAGATACTCTTCAGTATAACAACATGTGTGAATGTATTAAAAAAAATTATAGCCCCGCCTCTGCTTATGAAAAGTTAAATTACCTAATTATTTAGGGTAAAAGGATTTAGAACTATGTGGTAAACACATTTTGTTTTCTATGTATATTGTATTCAGATTTACAAGGAGAACAGTATTGTAGCGGTCCTAAAAATACAAGAGTGTGTTTAATAGAGCTTAAAATCTCAGTCTCTGCAGTCACGTTACATGGTTTAGAATCCTGGCTCTATCCGTTACTTACTTTGTGACCTTAGGTGAACTTTTTCTGCCTTCATTTATTCCACTGCAAAATAGGCTGAAAATATTAGTACCCATTCCTTAGGGTTATTGTGAGGATTAAATGAGATTGTGTGTAGATACATGTCAAGCACTTAAAGCAATGCATCTTACAGAGTAAGCCCTCAATAAATATTGTGATATTATGTTCAATTTATTTACACTGTGGGATGAAATATCTATCACAAAAATAGAATGGACAATTTAGTCATTATTTTACACAGCCAGAGGGAGGCAGAGCTAATAAGCATTAGAGGAATCTCAATTCTCTCACAGGAAAGCTAATTTTATAAATAAAGTGGAGGATTGGAGCACTTCATGGAGACACAAGTGTTTCTTCTGTGTCTTATCCCATCTGCCCCTCCGTTCCACCTGCCATCTTACTGTTCCCTGTGTCAGCACTGCTCGTTAACTATCAGAATTTCTCAGGCAGTGTCACCAAAAATTTTTTTAACTTGCAATTTTGTAGCATATCGTGGGCAATGATATCACAGGAGATAAACATGTTCCTTAAAAGAGTATAAAATAATGCACACTACAATTTTTAAGGAGACATTGAGGGTGTACGAAACAATACTGGGACTCCACCAGATGGTGACACAAATCGTTCTTTGTCCTGATATGATTTAAACGTACCCCGATATTATTTCTATTGAGCAACATCTATCTATTTTTTTCTCTTTAAATCTTAATGCACTCTGAACTTCCTTGCAATAAAAGCAAGAAAAAATAGAGCCTGAGTGAGGACCTGACCAATGAAATCAATATGTGAAAGGACAACACTCTCTGTGTCTATGAATGCTTGATACATACAGACCAGACACCGTGTAAGGCTAAAGCATGCATAATTTTTCTCAAATTAAAAAAAAACTTACCCAAAAGCAAAATATCTTTATATACCATGGATCTCTTTGTAGCTCCAAGCAGTAAATGTTCCCCTGCGTGAGCTCTCAACAGTGCCACCTTAATGAAAAATTCCAAGTTTAACAATTGAGTATAAAATATAATGATTAAAAGATTGTATAATATGAGTATGATTAACTTAGTGTTCACTAAGCCTAAGACTCTTTTTAAAAAGTGTAATATTCATAGATTTTTGCCATCATTAAGCCTCCTATTTTTCTATTTTAGCATGTCAACAGAGTTTTATTTTTCAAAATTTCAAAAACTGACAAGTCAATACAATAGCAGCAAAACCAACCAACGAACAAAAACAGAACAGTTAAGTGTTTGGAAGTGAACGATGTTTGGGAATGAAATACAGTCAAACAAATCAGAGTTCTAATTCTGGCTTGGCCCACTTACTACCTGTTTAAGCCTGGGTTAGTTAACCAGTATGTTTGGGACTCATTTGTTTTCACCTATCTGAGGGAGATAGTGATAAAAATCTCAAAATGAAGTCACAAGGACTCGATGAGAAACTGTATGTAAAACACAATCTCTTACACATAGTAAACTAAATAAACTAAAACAAAGCGAAGACTTGCGATACAGTGAAATGAGGGAGGAGGAATCTGACACTCTCTAGATTGAAACTTTAACTCTGCACTAAGCTCTCAAATGAGCTCAACTGCCTGCTGAACATCACCAGTAGGAAGAATAGGAGGCACTTCAAGTTTAACACATCAGAGTGATGCTTCTCCAACATTGTCATCATCTTAGTAAACGGCACCAGCATCCAAGCAAGTCCTAACACTGCTTCTCCATTGCTGCCGCCTCAGTGCAAGCCTTGGCCACACTTCACCTGGCTTTCCAAAGAGCTAACAGGTATTCCTGCTTCCTTTCTAGTTCCTCCATTCTAAGTCCTCCTTGACAGAGCTTCTAAGATGACATTTGTAAAATAATAATCAGTTAATATCACTCCTTTTCAAAAAGCTCTTCACTGGTTTCTTAGGGTGAGGGTAAAGATGGCCTTCGAATGAAATCTAAACACCTTGACTGTGGGCTCACATGAGGTGATGGCTCAATGATTTTTGCCCCCCGCCCACGTCTCTGGTTCTATCTTGCAACATCCTTGGCTCACTTCTCTCCAAGCACATGATGCCTGCTTGTCTCAGAGCCTTTGAACGTGCTGTCCCTGCACCCAGAATGCTTTCTCTTCAGATCTTGACAAGCTTGGCCTCTTGCCACTTAGGTCTCAGGAAAAATCTTTTCTGGTCCCCAATTTAAAGTATCTGTTACCACTCCACCCCCAGTCATTCTCTAACAACTCATCCTATTTCATTTTATAGAACGTATCCCCACCTAGAATTAACTTACTCATAATCTGTACATTTTTATTGCCTGTCTCTCCCAAGTAGAGTGCAAACTTTACAAGGATAGTGATGTAATCTGTATATTTACTGCCAAATACTCATAGTTCCTAAAACTGAATAATAGTCGTAATAAATATTTGTTTGATGAATTTACTAAGTGAATTTAAGTGATCTATGGCTCAGTTTTTAAAATTGTTAAGTGGAGATTATAAAACTTATGCCACAGAGTTTCTGAGAGCATTGAATAAAATAATGTAATATATAATGCAAGTGAAAACTAATTCCCTAATGCCTTACCTAAATAGACAGTCACCAATCCATGGCTATCAATGTTAAACTGTTAACACTGAAGTGTCAGTTAATAAATAAAAAACATTGACAAGTTACTGGATTTCAATTTCCCAATTTTTAAATCATTGTCTTCATACGTGTCAGCAACCTTCAAAGAGTGATAATAAAAATATAAAGCTGATAAATAACATCACCCTCCTTATATGGCTTGGGGTGAGACAAGTAGGTTTTAGCAATTTAGCATTATTCACTCTGAAATAACCTTCTGAGCCAAGCTATCTTTACGATATGTCAATAACCATGACTCACACCAGGAAGGGAGTTACAGAACATTTTAAGAATGATTTCAGATTTCACAGCATTTTCTTTTTGTCACCAGGTGAAATGCTCTCCTAGAAATACAACTGCTAACTTCCTGCGATCACTTTTATTTTCTGGTTGTGTAAATATTTTGCCCTTCTTTTATTTTTAAACAATCATGCACCTTTCCCTTTGATTGTTTCTTTGTTTTTTGTGTATCGATGATGAAGAGCACTGGTCAGAAGGTGTAAAAATATACACTGGTTATATTACATACAATGCTTTGTTCAGTCTGGGGGAAACTGGAAGTTTTCAAATTATTCACGTCCTCAAAATATATCTATCTAGAAGAGTTAAAATGGTTCTGAAACTAACAATCTAATCTTTATAGTCTAATTAGAAAATTAAAATTTTTAGCTATTGATTAAAAATCTTAATGTACACATGACAAAATATGAATATATATACATATTAGAAAAAGATCACTGTATTTGAATTCTCTGTATTTTCTGTAGGTTTCAGAGTACAAGTCTACAGAGTTTCTTTTTTAACCAGATCTATAATTTTTATATAGTAAATGCTAGAATAAAATTGACAACATGAAAGGCAAAATTGTATATGTTAATTGCATAAAAGCGCCTACAAAGGTATCAACACAACCTTGTGTGGTTTCTGTCTAGAAGTGGCCTGGTATTTCTGAGGAATTTTATACGCACCTTCAGTAAACACCAAGACACGGTGGTTTACCATTTGCTTCCCAGATGTTTACTCTTCTAATACTTCGTCTCACAATGGCAGTTATCTGCTTTCTCCCTTACTTAACCTTTCTAAACTCCAAGAGGGAAGAACATTGGCTTGATCAACTCTCATCCAATCGATACATTTGTTAAGACCCCTAAAGTAGAATTTAAACAGTCTGCCTCTTCACAGAACAAGATGAATGAACAAGAAAACCAATCTTTTTCTCATAAGGTAATTTAACCACTGCCAAATGTAGTAAATCTACTACAAATGTCATTCAAAGAACACAAAAACTTAGCCAAGTTCAAAAACCATTTTTTTTTTTGCAAGCATTCAGAATTTCTTTAAACGATACCTGATCATCTAGCGGTAACTCACAAAAGGCAGGAATGTATTTAGCCCATTCCACCAACACCAGGAGCTGCTGTTTCATGGATTCACAGACATCACCAACACTGGCAATTTTCTTAACATTTATGTCAGTGCTTGCACCGGCGCTTGAGACTGAGATCTGGCATCAAGAAGAGCATTATATTAATTTATTATTTAAAGTAGTAGGAGTAATACTTCTCTTTTTTCTGTGACTGCAACAAGTAAACACCATTGAAGGTGGCACTGTCGTCACAGTATCCTGAAATGTACTGAACATTTTAAAATTGAGAAATAAAATACCTATTAGTACAAGTTAGATTAAGAACCTTCACTGCCTAGAACCCTAGTCTGGGAGCAGTATCTTATTTTATTGGCCAAATCTGTAAAAGAAGGTACCACCACTTTTGGAGAGGTTTGTAATTCAAAAAGACTATACAAAGAGAGATTCAGTATCCACATGAAATACGCTGTGTGATTTTATTTTTAGTTAAAAGGTTAGATAGTTCCATTAAGAAAGTCCATCTTTAATTTGTTGTAGTCTATGAAGAAAAGTTTCCATGGATTAAGTTTACCAAACAAACGGGAAGAGATTTGGAGGAGAAGCCAGACGATAGCTGTTGCCACATTCCACGGAAGCCCACCCAAAGTTAAGACACCAACCTCTGACTCAGCACCTTGAAAACCTTAACGTATAAAGCTTTAAAATGACAGAAAATTTTGAACTGTCTAAAATATAAGTTGTGTTCAAATGCTCCTCTGCTGAAAAAAATCACTTTCTAACAGTTCTTATGAACTTAATTGTTGAACATGTGTACGTGTGTCCGTGCCTTCCTGTCGTGTGTGTGTATTTCCTCACAGCTCCTTTGAGGCCCTTCTCCAAATACTTTATAGGACCATCAAGTAATCTTCAAGTAACGATGATGATAATGCTGATGTTAACCTCATCATATTACCCCTGTGTTATCAAAAACGAAAGTAGTTGCACTGACTCATTATAGGACCTGATTAATAGTTAGCTATTTCATAATTTGCTTTATAATGGAAAAATTATCATTAACATTTCTAATAGGGGCACTGCCAAAATAAACTTTCTTCTGAACTTTTATTTTATTCTTAAGGGATTTACTTTTATTTATATAACTGATCAGCTATATATATTTTTTGACTTTAGAACTGATATTCTCACCCTAGAAATTTAAAATAATCAGCTTTCTCATGTGTTTTCCAAATTCTAGCTCTTCCCTTAAATACCTGTTTCCCAAGCAGGTGCCAAGATGAGTTCCCAGTTCTAGAAGTCATTTTCAAGGAAGAAGTCTCTGACAATAGATCTCAACTAACACCCCCAAAGCTGTGGTAACTGACTTTACAGATCTGACCAACACAACAAGATCCTTCCCGCAGAGCGCTGTGTTACACATTAAGGATTTTAAATCAACCTTGTAAACACACTTTTCCTGTAACAATCTTAGGCTGAAATGCATCATTTATCATTTTTCTATCTAAAAAACAGGAACTTGTTCCGGAAGAGTCAAAATTAAGTCAACAGTCCAGAAATATTTCCAAAAGTAAAACTCTTGAATGTGAACAGAGTAATGAATTAGAGTAACGAGTGCATTTGAATGAACTTAAATCATTTTTGCATTATGCCTAAAATAAACATTTGATTCCAATAAACAGGGCTGGACACTGGGGCAGCAGTACCTGGTGAGACCGAACTTCCGCCTGTGCCAGTGTGTTAATGGAGGGGATGTTGCTGCCGTCGAATGTGCTTCTTCTGGTACTTATTCTATCACGTTCATTTTGCACAGCTGGGGAGAAAAATCGCAGTATGTGTTGGTCAGTTCTCTTCAATATATATCAGAATATACAGTTTGAAGTAAAAAAAATAGTATAAAAAGAGAGAAGGGATATTTCTAAAACAACTTGGGAGGGGGGGTATAGGCAGGGAGAAAAGTAGGACTGAAGATATTTTTCATTCTGTACCACTTTTGAAAGTAGAAAGAGCCAGGCTTGTCACTAGAGCTCATAAAATATTGCCTTTTGGGACTTCATGATGGCATGCATGTTACAAAGTGTTGGGTCAGCCAGTTCAGCCATGCTGTATTTTTAATAGGATGGTTTTCCATTCTCTCAAAGTTAATAAAACCATAAGATAACTAGAGGAAGGGTATCGCCTGTGAGAATGACCAGGTCAAAGATAAGAGTGTATTCACTGTCAGAAAATATGAGTCATACATTTTGAAACTCCCATTTTTCTTTTTCCTCTAAAACACTAGCAAAAATGGAAAATAAATTTATTTTAGTTGAGATGATTTTAGGATTGCAATCTTATGATCTGTTGTGAAACAGTGTTCTCGGGACAGTTTACAAACAATAAAACAAAAGTTGCAGCGTGTAGGGGTCTCTCTTTAGAAGGCTGAGATTGGAAAATCAACATTTTGGAACAATGGAGAAACATTAGGTACTACATAAAAGTCTTCTAAGAAAGAGGTAGATCTGCTTCTTTCAGAAGGAAGAAAGAATCATGTGCAGCCCCCAATTTTTTATTGAAAACTAAAATTTTAAATATAAGAAAGAGTGAGAGGGGAGTATGAATTTGAATATTTGCTATATAAAGAATAACGTAAGTCAGATGTCAAAGTTGGATTTCAAAACATAAAAGGTAAAATGATCTTCTCTTAACCATAAAGAAAGAAAACAAAGTTTGTAGCCCGTAAGTTATTTGCATTAATGCTCTACCCAATTCTGCTGAAAACACAAAACTGTCAGAATTTTTTTGTAATTATTCTTTTATTAAAGAAATTCACCAATTTGTATGTCAAAATCTACTATCTAACCAAAACTTACTATTAAATATCAACTCCGTTAATTTGAAAAAGAAAATACCAGACTTCTTGCTTTTAAGAGTGAGTAATCTTTAGTTGGAGTGAACCATTAATATTTTATTTTGAACTCATATTTACTGGTAGATTACTCCCCCCCCTTTTTAAAAAAATATTGTCATTGATTTTCAGCCTAAGTTGGCTCATTTGGAAGTATAAATGTGGATATAAAAAATTAAAATGTAAGCTATACTTTTATGAATTTTATTTACCTGATCAATCTTTAGAAAAATACTAAAAGATATTGTAAACATTTGTAATCTTCCTGCAGCTATCATAAAACCATATTTATATGTGTTTCCGTCTAACCTTAATATTATGCGATTACTGTAAATAAGAGAAATGTATCTGCTATGAAAGCTCAAAGTTCCCTCCTAATCTATTTAGGAAAAATTGATGCATTATTCTATGAACAGTTCAAAACATAATTTCACTATTTTTGAAAATAATTTTATTTAACAAATTGTAAAATTCTTAAAGGAAACACAGAATTGAGACTTGCCTGTACTTTTGTAGGAGTGAAGCAGGGGTTCAAGTAAAAACGGATGGAGATGACTGACAAAGTATGTAATTAATCCCATAAGCTACCAAACATGCCACTGGAAATAAGTTATTTTGAAATGAAAAAGTGTTTCTCCTTTAAATTTTTGAACTTTAATCTGCCTTCACTTTGAGACCAGCACCCAAATGAAACATGAAATTTTTGTCTCTTGAATATATTGAGTGACATAGGAAAAAAAACTATGTTTAAGATAGGTTTGATATTCTTTACATGTCTGTAGTATAGTTATTAGATTTAATTTAATTTTTCAGTGGTGTGTGAAATCGTCCTGAAAAGTATCTCTTTGTACGTGATAGGCCTAAGCATGTGGCAAAACTCATTAAGCACAAAATCTCATTGCAGCCATTCCCTGCCAAACTTTAAATGTGCTAAACACATTTGTTGCAAAATTAACCATAGTTAGAATGGAGTATAATATAACCAGATTATTGAATTATGTTCAAAATGAAATTAGTGCCCATTAAAATGCAGTATCTAGTCTATTGTCTCTGTCCTTGAATAGAATATAAGCACCCTGAGAGGGGACGATTTTGACTATTTTGTCCACTACTGAAACCCTGGCACCCAGAACAGTGTTTGGAAAGCAGCAGTGCTCAATAAATTTGTTAAATAAATAAATGAATGCATGAAAAGTCAATGTTCAGTTGAATGTTTATGAAATCTATAAAGATACTCAGTTGTTGTTGAGAATAAAAATGATTTAAAATACATTTATAATTGCATCCTATTTTAATATATTTCACCACTTATCTTTTGAACAAGACACTGGAGTGTTGTTTAGGCAATAATTTTGTTGCCAGAGAGAACACACTAGTGGACAGAACAGTATAAAATCAGACCATCACCAAATAAAGACTGGCTCCACCACTTATGAGCTGAGTATGTATGTGAACAAATTCTTAAACTCAAGGAAATGTAGGTTCTTCATTGAGGAAGATCAGAACTCATGTAAAGATTATTGTGATTAAATGATAATGTGTGTGTGTGTGACACTTTTCATCGATGATATTAATCATCATTATATTGTATATCATTACCTTCTTTTTTCATGCCTGCTCTAAAGCACTTTCTTAATCGACAGTATCTGCATTGATTCCTTTTGTCTTTGTCAACAACACATTGCCGATTGAACCTGTAATATCAAACAAAGATATGTTAGTTTGCAGAAAATTATTATGTATCAAAAAAAGCAAATAGATTTTTTAAAGTATGGTCAAATTTGGATCAACAGAAAGAATGTATAAGAACAGTAAACTACGACTTTTCCAATTTCATGATCAGCATGTACATGGAAAAACAAGTCTCACCTCTTGTGCAGTCTTTATAATAAAACAAAACTGAATGATATCTCACTTTTGGGCAATATCCATGATCATTTCTAGCAAGAGCCATGAAAGCCAAGCCTAGTTTAATAATCTTTGGTATATAAATTCTAATGTGTACTGCTAAATGGTTTCAGTGCGAAGGAGAATCTATGAGAACTTCACTCCTCTGCACTTTCATCCTTTTCTCTACTTAAGTATTCCTCTATTCATTTTACCTCACATCCAATTGGAGTTTACTCTAAATGCCAAATTACATATCAAGAGACATTTGAACACAGTCTTGAGAGTATGGTCTCTTCGCACCCACTACAATGGCTATAATCAGAAAAAACAGACAAAAACAAATGTTGACAAAGATGTGAGAAAACTGGCCTTCTCATATATTGTTGGTTATAATACAAAATGATGTGGATGCTTAGGAAGAAAGTTTGGCAGTTCTTCTAAAAGTTAAACAAGAGTTAGCATATGACCCAGCAACTCCACACCTAGGGATATACCCAAGAGAGATGAAAACATATGTCCACACAAACACTTGTACACAAATGTCCACAGAAGCACTGTTCGTAAGAGACAAAAAGTGGGGACAACACAAATGCCCATCAGCCGATGAACAGATAAACAAAATGTGGTGTACTTACACAATGTAATATTATTATTTGGCAATAAACAAGAATGAAGTGCTGACACATGCTACAATATGTATAAACCTAGAAAACACTAATCTAAGTGAAAGAAGTCAGATGCAGAAGGTCACTTATTGTACAATTTCGTATACATCAAATGTGTGAAAGAGGCAAATCTACAGAAACAAACAGTTCCCCTACACTGGTGGGTAGGGAGCTACAGGAAATGGAGAATGACTACGCAAGGGTATTAAGAGGTCCCTATAGGATGATGCTATGTTCTAAATTGGTTGTACTGATGCTTGCACAACTCTACGAATATACTGAAAACTAAATTGTACATTAAAAAGAATATAGCCTCTGGAATTAAACCTGAGCTTTATTCCCAGGGCCACCATTCACTGTCCATAGAACCTGGGAATATTATTTAACATCCCAAGTTACCTTACAGTTACAGAATAGGGAGGACTTACCATCACAGGTTTTTATGTGAGTGTACTTAAAAGACTCTGAGACCAGCAAAAACCTGATCTTAAAAAGACTTTATGGCTCTCAACTTACATCAATATAATATTGTCCAAATGGAAAATCATAACATTTGCTTAACACCAAAATGTGTAAAGGCAGCTAAATTGGCAGAAGTATTGATGATGGGAAGGTGGTAAGAGTAAAGCCATACATGTTGTTGTATTAAATTTCCATAAGTTGCTATGGGAACATGTCTTTCCCACTTTTCCCTACACAGTAAGAGGGGAAATCTTGCGAGCTCTGTGTGCTGACATTCCCTGACTCTTATTTGAAAGTTGTTGTTGGATTTAGTTGCCTGGATGGGCATTTTATATACATGTGTATTTCACCTTCAACGGAACACATGACTTAAAACATTGTAAGAAATATTGTTTTCATGTTATTTTGTATTTAATTATTAATCTTTTGGAAGCACTCAGTATTTAATGGAATCAAAGAAAACACGTTTGATGAAAATCTACTTGATCTACTTTATAACCTCTTTAGTTGGGCTGTAAAAGAAAAGCAAGAATACACTCTTTTTTGTTTACCAAGAAGGTTTTAAAGTGGATGATTTACATTTTTTAACTTACTTTAAGCTCTCCTAGAAAAATTACTAGAGGACACTAGTTAGATATTTGGGAGTTTTATATTAACTTTTCCCACAGCCCTAGAAGTCAAATGGCATCACATTGTGAGAGTTAACTTCTTCCCAAACATCCAACTTCCTCCTAAAACACCTTAACAATTCTATGTGTGACTTTCAGAGACAGAGCGAGCACAGATGTTTTTCTGCAAAAATCAGTCATTTTTAATAGCCCATATTTAACACAGATGTAATCTGCATGCAAGAACTTGTCGTTCTGAATACTCAAGGTGAACTATGTAATCCTACATTGTGCTATAATGTTGACTAGATATTATTTTTTAAAAAGCCTGCTAGAAGCATGTGACACATACCATATAGTTAAAATAAGTTTTAGACCAAAAAAATTCAACAGCAAAACTGCAGCATGAGAATCACATTTAAAATTTTAGAACTGAAAATTTTATTCTATTCATTAACATCAACAAGCTACAAAAACTATCTGCCCCTTTATAATTTTAAGACTCCGATGTGATGCTAAAAAGAGAAGCAGTAATGTGGAAAAATACATGCATTGTGAAACCATTTAAATACTGATTTTAAAATGTCTATTGGTATATGAACACATGGTGAAACAATAAAAATAAGGAAAAGACAAACACCACATTTCAGACGGTAGTTACCTCTGGGAGAAAGGGGAGGAAGAAGAGGTGATGGGCGAGGTGTCTTCCAGAGGCTTCAACTGTATTGGTTTAAGCTGGGTGGTAAGTACATGGATTTTTGTTTTTATGTACGTGTTGTAAGTCTAGGATGTTTCATAAAAAGAACCACCTGTGTGAATGCATCTGCATACATACCCACCTTCACTTTTAATGAAGTTTACACATTTTGTTCTTACAGTTACAGAAACATGAAAGCTTTGAGTTTTATTCCCTTGCTTCATGCAAGCCACTCTGAAACACCTCTCAAGGTAACCTTCCTACTGGAGCACGTCAGGTACCTGCAGGAATAGACGTGACTCTTGCGAATGCTGCGTCTGAAGAAGCCCTTGCACCCGTCACAGCTCGAGGCTCCATAGTGCTTTCCCGTAGCCCTGTCCCCACATATGGCACACAGACAGTTGACCCCGTTATCTGCGGTATTCATACTCGTCGTCTCTGGGACAGAACTATCTGTTAAAGAAAGAGAATGAATTGAGTGCCAGTTAGTACTCAGTATTTCTTGTATAAATCACTCATAGGCTGGAAAGAGTCATTCCTTGGCTTCTTGGAAGCCCCACACCAGTGCTCTCCTTTGAACCACTGGCTGCTTCTGTCAGTGTCCATCCCAATCTCCCCACTCACATTTCTGACGATTAAACTTTGGGATACCATAGGGCTCAGTCCCCCAATGACGCTCATTGCCAAGGGAACCTCATCTAGTCCCATGACGTTAAACATCATCTGTATGATGAAAATATCCCCCAATTGTATTCCTAGTCCTGATGCCTCCCATGGGTGTTAGTCTAAAATGCCCAAATACCTATTTAACAATTTCACTTTGGAGTTTCATAAGAATTGCAAATTACGGTATCAAAAATAGAACTCTGATTTTTTTTTCCCCCAGAACACGTGCTTCTTTTAATCCTCCCTAGTCAGTCAATGGTACCGTCTGGTACCTATGGCCAATAATCTGGGAAACTTCCCTGAATTCTCTCCTTCATTGCTCATATCCACTCCAGTAATAAGTTAATATTTAAAATACATATAGAACCCACAGCTTTTCACCCTTTCATCATGGCCACCCTTATTCAAGCAACCATAATCTTTCCCCTGGATTATTGTACTAGCTTCCTATCTAATTTCTCTACTTCCACCCTTGTTTCTCTACTGCTTATTACCTAACGCCCCAATGTACTCTTGGCATAAGAAATTCACACTATATTGGCTTTCTGCATCCAACCCTTAGATACAAAATAAAGCTGACGACTGTAGAGCCCTGAGTGAAGTCCCTCCCCCGACCCCCACCGCTCTGTTCCCTTTATCTGGTACTAGTTTCATCCGATGCACTATTCTCCAGTAATGTTGCCTCTTTTCTTTTTTCTTTTTCCCTTGAAGTCTGTTCCCATTTCAGAGCCTTTACATTTGCTGTTCCTTCTGCCTGGAAAGAAAGCGCTTCCTCAAGAATTTCTTCAAGCTGGCTATCCGGATTCTGCTCACATCTCACATTTTATGCAAAACATACTAAACACACATTTAAGTCACCTCCCATCTGCCCTTCAAGTAGAACCTAGAACCTTGCTTATATTTCAGAATAACCATTTTGTTGTCTGAAATTACATTATCCTTTGGTTTGCTCATTTATTACTCATATTTCTCCATAGAAAATAAACTTTGTGATGTCAGAGGATTCATCTGTCTTAGTCATCCTCTGCTTTCCCGCTCTAAGAACTATGCCTAGCATGAAGTGGGCACTAATAGTTTTGAAAAAGAGGCTTAAAGAAATCAACATAGATATTTTTACTTAAATATTTCTTAAATTAGTTAATATTGTTTACTACATATTTAAAAATCTCCATGTACTCAAAAGATACTGAACATATAAGTTAATACACTATAAACTTAAATTCATCATAATTTTATAGTAATATAAATATGATAAAAATTCATTGTTATATTTTCAATATAACAAAAGATAAAATCAAAGACTATCATGTCCCAATTACATTCTGTAACAAAAGATACATTCTACTTACAAATACTTTTGAGCTGACAAATATTGTCATATGTAATTTCATGAAGTTAAAAAATCTTTAATGAGGATATTCTTGAGGCTAATCATGTGACAGTATAGAATTTAAATGCTAGGAATTTTTCTTTTGGTAATATAAACAGAAGAGATATTAGATATATGGCAGTTAGAAGCGTTTAGGATTGATTGTGTTTTGGAAGATCAAATGGAAATACCAAAAAAAAAAAAAATCAACTCTTGTTTCCAATTTACTGTCATAGTTACATATTATTAACAAGAAACTTACACATTATTACAAGAAAACAAGATAGACAACACTTTGGAAGGAGCCATACAAGTCAATTGTTTTGGTAAATATTTATGGTAAATCTGTCCCTACTATTTAGTCATCTATAGTCTTTAAAAAATGTATGACTCTATTGAGGTAAATACTCTATTAAAACTTTAGTCAAGTCTACACATAAGGATTCAAAATAGTGAGTTCCTAGTGGTAGCACTACAAATTCATTTTAACTCTTTTGTGCTAAAATTTCAGAATTCATCTTCTGAAAAGTTTTAGAGATCTTCCCACTAGTAAGTTATTATTGTTTATTGTAAACATAACAGCTATGACAGTTGCTGAAATTGTACAGCATAGTAGAACATTAAGATATCCTGAGTACACGATACATTCTCAGTCCCCCAACACACACACACACACACACACACACACACACACACACACATTTTCCAAAGTATACAGAATTAGTAGATTTCAGGAGTTCTAACAATTATCACTGATCTTGGACAAGACTTTTACTTGAAAAAAAAATCTAAATTCAAACTCAACAGTGACTGTATTCTATAAAGACATGAGCCCTAAACAAGTCATGTCTTATTTAAAGTTAAAATGTTACAATACCAAGAGATTTGTGAGGCTAAACATTAGCTTGTCAAGTGCAGTTATAATATAAACCTTCATTTATTTTCATATTTGTGTTCAGTGCAAAAACTTGATAGAATTTTAAATAGTTTCTCAGCAACAGCAATTGGAACTGGAATAATGAAAAGAGGCATCCAGTAAAACTCTGCAGTGTTCTACAGAAACTTCTCCATATGTCATTTTAAATGTTGCATAGAAAATATACTTTACAGCCAACCTGCCAATATTACTTATTACTGTGATTTACAGTAAATAAAATAACTGCTGAAACTACTCTTTTTACCTAACTGGCCCATGACAGAATTCGGAGGTGACTTTATTGTGCATAACTAAGCTTTTTCTGCCTCAAACATAAAATAGCCATAGCATTGTTAATTTAAATTTTGTGATGAAGTGCAAAAGCCTCAGATCTGTGGCCTTAAAAAGCAAGCCCTGAATACTCCAGTAATAAACCACGGAGCTACCACCTGGGAGGCTCAGTTTTACTTCCCTCATTATACTTAACTTTTTATCTAC